ATTACCTAAAAAATATGTAATGAGTGATAAAACCCTTATTTACTCTTATTGGACCGGAATAACTTGTCTCCGCTGATGTATAACCTTCTAGAATGCATATTCTAATAAAAACTTTTAATTTAACTTGGTATTACGTAATACCTCTAACCATCTAATATCACCAAATCAGTGTGCACCGTGATGGCGAGCTATCTAGAACGGTGGCCACATTACAACCTGACTGATAGAATTCAGTCTGCACCAATGAGAGGACTAGACGCATCACACTAGTTACTAGTGTCAAATCAAAATATCCACTACAGTCCCACAGGAGGTCGATCGTGAGTCTGAATAGCTCAGTGGTAACGTCTCTGACTGCAGCACTGGATGATGCTGGTTCGAATCTCAGAAGGGATATGAGTTCCTTCAAGGTTGCAGATACGCCTTGCCGACTGGTGAGTGAGTGCCAACTAGCACGAAACCTAGGTTCAAGGCTTCCTGTGGCTGATTGCCTACAACCATCCAATATCATTACGTAATACGTGGTAGTGGCTAATTACTTAAGTACTTCATCATATTAACATTACACTCGACAAAACATCTAATTACTTTAAATAGTAAGTCTATGGCACTGTTCAACTGTACACAGTGTTAGTATATCTCTGGTATATTTTGATGAGATTATCATTTCTGAATGAAAATTTATATTCATGCTAAAGCAGTCTGATGTCAAATGCGTTGAAAACCAACTACACCGTTGCATAATGTCGTTTAGTGTAGTGCGTCGGAGTAGAGTTTGTATTTAAGCTTACTTTCCTCAATTTCTGCCTAATATACCTTCCTAAAGATAACTCTGGTACTGTATTTTTACAGTTTATGCTATAGAGGGCTGACGCCATTATTGCAAAAAGTTTGGGAAGGAAGGAAAGGTACCTACCGATTGGATGAAAGACTACCCTGTCAAGCTACCAATGAAGGACGATTTAGGCCCCTGCGAGAACTGACTGGCATGGAATAATGCTCTTGTCCACACCAAGTAAAATACTAAGTCACTTCATCCTGGAGAGACTGAAAGATGCACTGGATGCAGAAGTGTGACAGCCTGGAACAAACTTAATTTAGGAAAGACAAATCATGTGCTGATCAAATTGTAGCTCTACACATCGTCATTACAGAACAAAGAATAGAATGGCAGTGTTATGACTGGAACTACGACCTAGCAGACTATGAGCGAATAGTAACTTAATGCGTTGGCTTTTCTGTCCTAATCGCACGCCAATAACGACAACAGCAGTAACACCACCGGGCAGCAAAGACAGAAGAAAAGACTGGACGTTGACAAGACAGCTTTTACTGTCTCTAGCATCAGTCAAAAAAGGTTAACAGCAGTCGCGTAATGACCTTGAGAAACACTAGTATCGTCGATAAATTAAGACAGTGAATAACCAGCAGGATTTCAAAGGTCATAAGTAGCGTGAGAGAAAATTCGTGATAAATGAATGTGGGGTGAGAGAAGGACAAACAGACATATAAAAGTGATAAGTAGGAAATTAGGTCTACACATCGGGCAGTCAACCTCTACCGCAATTTCATCGACTTCGAAAAAGCCTTCGACAGCGTTGACTGATAAATGATTTGAAACCACCTCAACACTACCACGTGCAGTGCTCATTCAACAGTTGGCTGTATGACAGTGCCAAGTATCGGGTGATCCTCGACGGAAAAATCACTCAACGAGGCGTTCGAAGTGAATACAGGAGTTAGACAAGGCTGCATGCCGATTATCACCAGTGATATTCCTAATTGTGGTGGACTAGATTATACGTCAGGCTGTGCGAGAGGAGTCAGAAGATGGCAACACGCTGAAATGACCAATAAGAAGACTCTAGAAAATCTGGATTTCGCAAATGATTCATGCTTAATGTCACAAAAACTTGAAGACCTGTAGGCAGGCAAAAACCAATAGACTGGCTGAAGAGGCTGGTAGTGAAGATAGGATTCCCGGAGAACATACAGAAGACAGAGGTCATGAAGATAATGAGCCAACCGACAACAACCAGCGCCAATCACCATCAACGGGAGAGACTTAAAGGAGGTTACCTCCTTCACTTATCTGAGAAGCATCGTTTCAGCCACATGCTCACAGCACAGACGAAGATATCAAAGCCAGCCAGCCAGCCAGCCAGAATTGGAAAGGCAAGATACGTCTTCATCAATCTGAAATCAGTCTGGAAATCTTCTGTTCTGACTCAACATAAAGAACAAGGTTTGAATTTTCAACACAAATGTGAAGTCGGTCAGTTTTTCTACATTTATCAGTCACGGAAAGTGTTTTTACAACATGCTACTTCAGACTTATATCAACAGCTGCCTTTGCTGACTCCATACTGAGGATCTAATGGCCTACCAAAAAGAATTAGCAACAAGAAACTCTTGCAGTGGAAAAATAAACCAAGAGCCGATCGCTCAATAAATATGTAGAAAAACTGGAGATGGACTGGGGATATGCTGGGGATGCCGTCAAGTGACATCGCGCTGAATGCAGGCCATCTCTCGAGTGAAATCTCAATAGGAAAAGACGATTGGGACACTGGTGCGTGGGTGACATGGAGGAGATTGTGTGGCAAGGAGGAGATGAGAGGTTATGGTCAATCGTGTACCCGGCTGAAGATTACAGCAGAAAATAGAACAAATTGGAGATGTGTTATTGAAGCCCTATATTCCACTCGGAACCCTTGGGAATAGTGATAATAATCATGCTAAAGAGGCGGGGGAGCTTGAGCACAATAATAATTATTATTATATCCTTTAATTCCTAGCGGAACATAGAGCTTCAGCCGCGCATCTCCATTGCCTTCGGTTTTCTGCCAACGTTTTCACCCGCTCCAAGTCTGCCCACATGCTTTCATCTCCTCTTCACATGACCTCCTCCAAGTCACCCTTGCACTGACGACCAACTCGTCGCTTCCCTTTCGGATTCCACTCGAGCAGTGGCTTGTGTAGTGATGTCACTCACTTGATGGTTTCCTCAGAGTATGGCCAATCCATCTCCATTTCTTCCTGCCTATTTGTTTCACAATCGGTTCCTGCTGTGTTGGTTCGCTCCCAGAGGTCCCTATTGATGGTCTTTTCTGGCCATCTGATCTTGAGTATTGAGTGAAGACAACTGTTAATGAAGGTCTGAAGTTTGTTTGAGGTGCTCTTTATGAAGCACCAAGTCTCTGATCCATCTGTATAGTAGCACTGACTGACTCACACTGGAGTTGAAAATCCGGATGTTATTTTTGATTCTGAGTGCTGTTGACCTCCACACAAACTTAACAGTAATGAAAGCTTGTCTTGCTTTTCCGATTCTGGCTTTGATATCCTCGTCAGTTCCGCCTGTAGTTGAAACGATGCTTCCCAGGTAGGTAGGTAGAGGAGGCTGTTTCTTTCAGGTTCCTCCCATTTATGCTGACTGTCGTCTGTTATTATTGTTGCTGTTGGTGTTGGCCAGGAATCTTCATCACCCCTGTTTTATCTATGTTCACCCGATGGCCTATCTTGTTTGGATGCTTCTTCTGCCAACTTGTTGCTTTTCACTTGCATATCTTCCAGTTTGTGGGAAATCAGACATATATCATCAGCGAAGTCCAGATCCTCCAAGTTTTTGTCTGAGTCCATTTTATGCCTATTTCCTTATTACCCGTTGTCTGTCGCATTATCCAATCTACTGCAATCAGGAAGATCATTGGCGATAGTAGACAGCCTTGCTTGAGCATGAAGTCAGTATGAATTGCACAAAGAGACGTTGATGGCATAGCTAGTAAGCAGATATGTGCAAATTAAGCAAATATATATTATCACTTGTAATGAAAAATGTGTCGCTAAGTATGACTCGTAGCTGAAGAGAATCTTCAGTAACAGAATAATGTTGGGGCCTAATCAATACTTCAAATCTTGTATCTAAGTCTATACAGTGCCAGATCAATGATGTAAAGATCGCTATCCATTTCAACTTCGATCACTATTAGATCGGCTTAACTGAACCGAGGTTATCAGTTTTATTCTCAGCAAAATATGCGATGAATAACTGGATCCATACTACACCCCGTCTGTGGAACAGTGGTCGAATGCTCGCCAACCACGCCTCATGTGGTCTAAGGTTCGATTCCCAGCCACCAACACACCCTTTACCTCACTAATCCAGTAATAAGACGGGTAAAGAGGGGAGGTTGGGCATGAGGCTAGCAACCCACCCCGTAAAAGTAAGCACCACTGTTACGGAAACTTCAAGCCTGTAGATTGAAGCCCTATGTTCCACTGGGAAAGTAAAGGAATAAAAAATACCACATCCCGTGTTGTTATTCCGAATATTTTTCTACTTGTTTGTTAAGGGTTTGTGCACCGGAATAGTCTATGAATGTTTCATTGCACATAAAACTCATCAGCCGGTTTCATTGAGTCGAAATGTTCCATTTGTGGAAAGTAAAAGATTATTGTCATGACCTACTCAAGAAATCTCTGGTTTTTAAAATCCCTGATAAACCCACCATCCACTTGAATAAAAGTCTCAATGGACGGTTATAATTATTCATTCAAATTTTCTAGTGTCGCATAATGTTTTAAAGTGACATTAAGTATAAATTTTTATTTAAGAGGAATCACAAAACAGTTCTAACAGTTGGTGTGGACAAGAGCAGCAATTTGCTCGAAATATTACCAACAATAACAAAAACTTGTCATTGTGCATAAACCATTGAAACATAATTATACTTTATTTGATCTATTCCACAATGCTTAAACTTTTTACTGGCATGAATCGAAATACATTTTCGCTTCGAATTTCTTTTATTTCCTTCCAATTGCAGGTTTTTTAAGCCAACAAATCAGATTCGCCGAAATATAACGGGGTGTAGAGCAATCAAAGAAGAATATATAAATCAAGCATTGTGATTGGCCAATAAAATAAACAATATTAACCAATCAAAATTAAAGCCGTAATTGGTGAATTTTTGCGAAGTTTATATTCTAGTATGGATGTTTGTTGTTAAAATTAAATCTTTCCATTTCGAAATTGGGTATGTTCATACGCTAATCAATCAATATATTATGCACTAATAATGTTGGGAGTTTTTTTTAACATGAGCATACTTGAACTACATTGCAAGACTTGTACATCTCCAGGGTTACATACGCTCCACCATAAAGGCTAGGAATTTTGAATTAATGATTATTTTCTTGTTTACATAACAATTCTGTTCAAATCACTGTGAAACTTAATATCTTATATCCATTGTAAACAACTGGTAGTAATTCTTTTGATTTCTTTTTTTAGCAATGACAGTTACCAAGATTATTTATTGATTAAACTGTATTTCTACAACCACCCCCCCCAACTTTTCTTTTTAAAAAATCAGTGATATTCTATTCCCTTTACATCAAAATATGTGGATCCAAAGTTGGCATGAGAACGCTTATCACTGCAACAATCAGCCGTCTGTTGAACGCTTGTATTATACACAACCCTATGAATACAACAGCTCAATTTATCCAAATGCAATACAACAAAATGATCTTGAAATGAATACAATTTATCCCCAGACTATTAATAGTGATAATAAGAATAACAGTCCTATAGATACTAAAGTTCCAGTACCATTTTTACATATTCCTGACACATCTAACACTATTAGTAATATCAACAGTGATACAAATTCAATGAATCCATCAAATTTTATATTATCATCCACTATCTTACCAAATCATTGTACTACCTCAAATTCATCAACTAAATCTATCATTTCAAATAAAACCATGTCAGTTGCACACTTTCATGATATCCCTACTGGTAATAATGGTAATAACAGTAATCAGAATGAGGTAGTAAAAAGTGAAGGAAGCACTCATGATTCGTTTTTGAATAGTCGTCAATCTACGCAATGGGATATACTAATGAATAATGGTATAACTACTTCTACTACTGCTATTCCTATTCCTACTGCTGCCGCCAGGACATTGACAATGACCACTACTACAGCGACCACCACCGCTGACGATGTCACTACTAGTAGTTATAATGATAATGATAATAGTAGTAACGAATATAAATGTAATATGGATAATAAACATTTCTATCAACGCTACATTGATGATGATAATAATAAATCGATTAATATGAATAATCATTACTTTAATCAATGCGATGTATTTACAGAGAAAAACAATTCAAGTAAGTTGATAATCAGATCACCTTTTAATTGACTGATTGACTGATTCATTCATTCATGTATGTTCATACGATTTTCATCATAACTGACTAACGAAGTGACACGTCAGTAAATACTTTTATGAAATTTATCCTTAGGTTGATTTGCCTTTCCCGTTGATTGATTATGTTGGACTGAAATGTTTGGTCTTTGTTGAAATGTTGCCTCGACTAGACGTTTCATAGTGTATACTGCTTTGGAGATTGAAACGATGAGTACAAGGCTATGTGTCCTAAGAATGCCTATCGGTTCGTCGTAGAGTTCTTAGTGTAAACGAATTCATCGACATGACTGAATGACATGTTATTTCGTGAACCGTTAATCGCTCGAATCCTGTTTGTTTTTAATATCACCCTCTAGGTAGTTGGTAACGTGCCATCATCCAACAGGTCAATTAAATCAGGAGAATGATTAATAGTGTTGTCAATGTAATTAATTGTTGTTGATTACAGCTTGATTCCACACTGTATTTTTGATACAAGTATGGAATTTTCAGCATGGATATCGGTAGCCTAAATTTTTCAGGCCGACCATAGATGTGTGCATCGGCAGGGGATCGAACCTCAGATCATGTGCATGGTTGGCGAAAGTCCTAACCACTGTGCCACCGACGCAGGATTGGATGACGATAATCGTGTGTAACTCCTCTACTCATCTGTGCGGTAAAGTGTTCAAAGGTATTACAAAATGTTGAATAATGGGTCTTTCCTTAAAACTTATTATCCAAACAGGGTTGAAATACAAGATAAGGATGATACTTTTTGTTTAACGTCATTTTATTGGTCGTTCACATGAGTTAGCAGTTTTATTCTTACCCCAATAGACATATACTAAAAAAATTATCAGAACAGTGAGCATTCATAATTCTCTAAGGTAAGATATCATTCACTCACTGAAATTAGAGTCAAACAGTTCAATATTTTCAACTTTAATGAATTTACAGTTTCATTGAATAATAACACACTTTACTAGTGTACTTTATGATCCACACAAGAATATAAGTGGTTCATGGACCGCTTAATTCCAATCCAGTGTTTTGCTTCTAGTCCGAAGGTCTCAGTTTCCATCTCTGGTGATATTGTGAGTCTGCATTGTAGAAGACTGTGTATCTAGGAGGAAACAGTTGTCCAGTGGTCTATAGTTTTAGTAGCCAGTGATTTGAATTGATTTGGCTGTCTGAGCTGAGTCAAACTGGATGATAAACTGCTGATGAGCTCTATCCCAAACGGGTGAAACAAACATCCGGTATTTAGGTCACTTTGATCTGACTAACAATTACTACCGGTTGATTTGAATGACATCCAACTACTCGTATCAATCAGTCAGTGGTACATACTGCCATACATGATTGCTGGCTTCCTTGATTTCCCCTTTACGGTACCAAGTAGATCATATATTGTGATCTGAACGATTTCAGTTCCCGAAACGATCAGGTGAAATTTCATTCTACAAATTACGGCAATCGATTAATTCTAAAACTGTAGACAGGTGTTAAGTACTAGGTTAAGGCATCTGGGCAGTAATCATCCATGACCCCATCACAGATCGAATCCAGGACCTCCAGATTATTAGGCAATCCTGTTGAAACTAATCAAATCCCCTCAAACTAACACTTGAAAACTAATTCAATACCCATAAGTTAGTGACTTCAGGGTGAAATTGTGTAAATCCCTTATGAGAATTCATAACCAACAAAGTTCAGTGAGACTGGCCAGCAGGCAATGGGGCTATAAATCACGAACCGACAAAAGTTAGCATGCATAGATCACTGGATTGCACTCCAATAGCTAAATGGTCAACGACTTGCCTAATAACCTGAAGGTCTTAGGTTAGATCCCTGGTAGTGGGGGCATGTATGCGTACTGCCGAAAAGTCCTAAAATGAGTTAAAAACAGCGGTTCATTATTCCTTGGTTTTAAAAGGTTCGCCAACCTAATATCAGTCCGTTATCTTGATTGGAGTGTACCGGTCAATTTAAACCATCATAATACACTTAAAATGCTAAACTTTTATACAAGCAAACTAGTGCTAATCAAAATTATATTATCAAGTGAAAGAATATGAATCAACCAAATTCATTAGTAACCAAAACTCATAAGCCAAATCGGCAAACCGCTATATCAATAACCTGATGGCTGCCAGCATCATATTTATCAGTCTTTTTCTATGCTAGTTACTACTCAAACTGTAGGAAAAGCATTTTAGAAGTGTTTCAGGCACAAAATTATAGTATGTCTGTGAATAAAGTTTCAGCGGAGTGATATCAATTAGATAATCATTGAAAATCAGGGAGTACTAGATGGACGGCTGTTTCATCCTAGTTCGAGATACATCGGAAGTACGCATCCACTAGGGTTCAAACCCAGTACTCTCAAATTACAAGGAAAGTTTGTAGATTATTCAGCAACTGATACTGACCCGATACAGTCGCCGGTTCATGAATTTCAACTTCTACCAAATTCGTGATTTTTTTTAGCGTGACCACAACCCAATGTCATGGTTTATGCGTATTCATCCTCATTCCTGACCGGATGAACCCCAGTGGTCGCAGCTTCTCACTAGAACTTCGGTCAGCTTCATCCCCAGGAAGTGCCTACTATTAATGAGTCCCGAGTTTGGTCGAAACAGCTGCCCAGTACACTAAATAACTGTTTATTTCGAGCTCGATGCTCGTCAGTAGGCTACTACTGTCTTGTCCTCTTCGCATATTGTAGTAGGAGACCATTTCATTTTATATATATATATCATTGTTATTGTACAGAATAAACTGAAATTTCATTATTACTACTATTCGTTAATTTTCTCAATCAAAAAATATACAATTCACGTTTGGATAGGTATGTTTACTGACCACAATAAAAATGGCATTTGTACTAATGTCACTGGTAATATTAGCGGTAATATTGAATTAAAAACTAAGCCTATCTTTATATCCTCATAGTAAGTGAATACTAATTCCACTTGACTGACATTCATTCATTCATCAAAGTAGGATCCTACGGAATGAGACGTTTGTTTCCATATTCAATAAGTTTATTTGACAAAACATACAATCGAACCGTAATAATCCAGTTATTACCGCTATGTCAATCACTGTGTTATGCATCAAATAAAATTATCTATTATGGACTTACATATTCTACCACAGTGCCCGAATTCCACCGTTATATTAATAAGTTTGTTTTCAATCAGCTGTCTTCTGATCACAGAGTTATTTCAGTAATTTTGTCACTGAATAATATCAGTTGAGAACCTACTGAAAACCACAAAGGACTGGATATTGCTTTCATCTTCAGTTTAGGACCCTTTAGAAGTATACAACCTTGACCTTACCAAAATCTGCTCTAAAGTTGATACTTTCCACAGGGATAAAAGAGTTCCATACTTGGGTATAACAACTTTCTAATGTTCCCTTGTTTTTACTGACTACTGACGAAAACTCTATAATCTAAATAATTATTGATTATTTACAAACTATTGCGTCCTTATATAGTAAAGCTTTCGATAATGTTTTCTTTCCTACTGTTATTTGTGTGTGTGTGTGTGTGTGTACATCAATATGAGTTAATCTCAACTGTGTTTTGAAGTGGTACAAATTTCTTCATTGGTAATAACCGTTTGTTAGTTTGTGTTTATACTGGAACTCACCAACAGGGAAATAACTTAATCCATATTCCCTTCGATGGTTGGAACTTGTTGATGTCAACACTGAGGTTAGTACAGTGTACCGCTTAGCTACTCAGGATTTGATTGCCAGATCACTAGATGAAAACATATACAACTATATAATGCTTAGTGTTGGTCAATTGGTTTAACAGTTTTAATTGGTGTTACATCCTTAGCCATTTGAGTGACAATAATCCAAGTTTCGCGCTTGCTAGCACTTATCAACAAAGCGTACCATCAGCAGTTCCCTGTGTGGCCTTTTTTATGTTAGTGGGTAGAAACTTCTACAAGATAAAAGAGTCTAGTGTTATCAAAGTTTGATTTATATTCACTGAGTAACCCCTTGAATTAAATCTATAAATAATCAAACAACTAAGGATTAATGGTGCGTCGGTGGCACAGCAGTAGAATGCTTGCCAGCCACGCCTCATGTGGTCCTCGGTCCGATCCCTGGCCACCAACGTACTCCTAAACCTTGCTAAATCGGTAATAAGACTGGTAAAGAGGAAAGGTTGGGCGTGAGGCTAGTAACTCCATCCTGTAAAAATAAACACCACTGCTAGCGAAACTTCAAGCCTGTAGTTTGAGGGCCTATGTTCGATTGGAAACGTCTAAGAATGAAAAAGGATGCACGAGTCTATGTTGACTGATAACTACGGGTTTAACCGATGCAATCACTATCGCAGTTCGCTGTTAGTTGCTAGGAGGAAGTTGGAAGTAATAAGTTGGATGCCGTACACGAGATTAGTCTCGTCCCTAAAAACTGCGCTGTAATCTGTTCAACTCTAGGATTGGTTAACATGGATTCAAATACCTGTATGTGGCGATGAAACATCACTTCCTTCGAGCTTGTAGATACTCCTTGCTCCACATCTGCCAGTGTCCACTAAACGTAGGTGTACGGCATCCAGCCGATTATCATATAATTTCAAGGCATCCAACTAAACACAACAAAAACGTTTAAATACCTATGATTAAATCGATTAACACGAATGAAATGACATTGTGTTATTGATTTTCGCTAATTTATTTTCAAATTTCACTGGTTTATTTTTTAACTAATCTATTATTCTTCGCTTCAGTATATCTAGTTTTCAATGTAAAAAGGAACTATTATTGAAAATAATAATAAACCCTAATAGTTCTTTTCAGTCTCATTCGGTAAAAATAATCTCTTAATTGTTACTATGACACCTGATTTAGACAGGTGTGCGCCTCCTAATGATAACATAAACATCTAATTCTACTACTGAACGCATATATTTATGCTTGTCAACACATATCCAGCTATGTTTAC